AGAGAGAGAGAGAGAGAGAGAGAGAGAGAGAAAGAGAGAGAGAGAGGCTCAACTCAGTAGATTCTTTGAGAACCCCCAACAGATATAATTGAAAAAATAAGTCAGGCGGTGGTGGTGATCTCTGAGTTTGAGGCAGGCCAGAGCTACAAAGTGAGACCCTGTCTCCAAATAATAAATAATAAATGCATAAATAAATAAATAGGCAGGGCTGAAATAAACAAATGAAAAATGAACAAGAAGCATCAGCCAGCAACTGGAAATCTCACCACACACATGTCCTGTGGACATCAGAAGCAGAGGCTATAACAACCTTCAATCCAATCAAACAACGGTTTTGTTTCAACATACCGGTTCTTAGAGAACAACAGCCCTCACCTTCTGATTTTTTTTTCATTCAAAGGGTTTTTGGTTCCAGCTTTGGAGATCAGTCCCAGGGCCTTAAGCATACCAGGCAAGCGTTCTTAACACTAAGCTAAATCTACTTCCCCTGATGAAAAAGGTTGAAGGCTTTTAACAGGTGAAACAAATTCCTCCTGAAGACTTTGGATTCCGACATGTTCATCAGTAAGCTGGGTCAAAACAAATCCACATTGTGCCACCTAGAACTTATTTTACACCCACACCAATGCCCACAAACCCATACATAAAACATCCCCCCCACCCACACACGGTCTTTTGAGACAGGGTTTCAGCTGGCTTCAAATTCAGAGATTGGCCTGCCTCTGGCTCCCAAGAGCTGGGATTAAAGGCTTGTGCCAACACTGCCAGGAGAAACCCCCACCACCCTTTTACACTCAGTATTTTATCTGGTTTTGGGTGCTGGGATCGAGGGCATACACCACAATGTCAGGCTAAAATAAGGTGTTTAGGGTGGCCAATGTATGTTCTGCTGTTAGGTTCCTGACATTGATATACTGTGGTTCTGAAAAACAGCATTTTTATTTTCAGAACGTAAGCACTGAAGTATTTGTGGTAAATATTTGGGGCAAATTTGCGTGGGTCTCTGTAACAAAATGACGTAAACTAAGTGGTTTAAAACTACAGAAATTCGGTTAGACATGGGGGTTGATGGGTAGCACGCTTATTTGGTCCTGCTCTACCTCCATCAACACAGAAAGTCAGGTGTGGCGGTGCACACCTGTAATCCCAGAACGGGGGAGGTAGAAGCAGGGGGTTAGAAATTCCGGGTTATACCTTGCCTGTACTGTGATGTGGGGGCTAGCCCACAGTACTTGAGACCCTAGCTAAAAATAAAACAACGCCAACAACAACACAAACTGTAAGAACTGTAT